TAGTTTATATTAGATAAAGTTGAACTGATAAGCAAAAAGGTTAGAAGAGAGGAGCTTAATTGAAGCACATTTGGTCTGGGAAATGAGACGCTGCAGCAGAATGAGGTAGGAGAAAACTTCTGGCCTGCTGTGTCCTTCCTATGGGTAAAGAAGGACAAATCCATGCATTTCAGCTTCTGATGTGGCCCATCTTCAGTTTGCCACATGCGTGCACCAGCTTGTGAATTTTTTCTACAGCCATCATGAAAATTCATGTAGCCGCAATGAGACACATCCCATTTAGATTCCTGTAATGTGCTCTACATGGGGCTGCCTTTGAAAATCAGAAACTGCAACTGGCCCAAAGAGCTGCAGCCAGACTGTTGATCAGGGCTGGTTACAGGGAGTATATGACCAATGAAGGACTTTGGGTTTTTCAAATTTCAGCAGTGCCCTGTGCAATGCTAACCATTTGGCGTGCCCCCCCCCCCAGCCTCTCACACTCGGTTCTACAGCATTGTTTTGGCGCCCCCTGCAGCTCACCAGTCATGCCACTCTAAAACCGCTTCTGACACGACTCACTTGTTATAGCAGCTGCACTGGCAACTGGTCTGTCTCAAGGCCCAATTCAGACTGCCCTACCAGTTCAGTGAGATGGCAGGCAGCATTGGGCTGAGATGTGGCAGGGAGCACCAGTATCGGGATGAGAAAAGGAAGGAGTGTGAAAATCAGCATCATTGGGAGTGGGGCTAGGCATTCGGGGGTGGGCAAGGCTCCACAAGTGCCTGCAGATCATCACAATAGGAAAGGACGGGGTGAGGCCCCATGAGTGCTTCTCCTAGAGGAAAAGTGCTTGCAGGGCATCACTATTGGAAGGGGGCTTCCCTGGGCCACCTCCAGGCATCACAGGAGGAGGTGTGGCAGTGGGGATGGTGTCATGGTGGAGCAGGAGGGGGTGGCAATCATCTGACAGCAGCCTGGCAGTGCCAAGTGTCAGCTGCCTGGTGGTGTCACCCTCAGGAGCCTGCTGCCTCACCTTGCCTCGTGGACAGGCTGGTTCTGCCTATGAAGCCCTGTACAACTTAGGCTGTAAATTTGTGTGAGCCTTTATCTTGTTGGGCATAAGCAACCTTGCATGCCTCCAGCCAGTAGGAGGCAGGGACAGGACTAAGAGGTAGTCAGGGAATATGGAATGTGTGGCTTCCCACTGAACACCTAACCTCTGCCCCTTCCTTCTGCTCTCTCTCTTTCTTCTCCCTCTTTCCTCATACAGTGATACCTCTGGTTGAGAACAGGATCTGTTCTGGAACCCTGTTCACAACCTGAAAGGAATGCGACCTGTGTCTGCACGTCTGCACACGCACAGGTCACGATTTGCCACTTCTGCGCATGCTCATGACGTCATTTTGTGCATCTGTGCGTGCGCGAGCGTCAAATCCCGGAATTAACCCTTTCCGGTACTTCTGGGTCGCCGCAGGACACAACCTGAAAAGATGTAACCTGAACCAAACGTAACAAGAGGTATGACTGTACAAGGATACCATGAAAGTAGCTCCAGCCCATTTAACTTGCATGATTTCAACCATACACCATACAGGGCGGGTATGGATTCTCTTGTGAGATCACACAGGAACTGAGATTGTCCCATGGCATCGCACAAGAGCATCCCTAGTAGTACTCCAAGAGTCCGCATGCCTTGCCCCCAAAAGCAAGGCAGTGAGCTTAAAAACACTCTTTATGATGGGTAATCCCAAGCAAACCTGCTGCATGCCAGCTCTGGGACTAGAGGGGGTGCTCTCTCTTCACCCCAGACTGACTAGCTGTGGGATGGCTCCAAGGGTAGCACAATTTTGACTATGCACGACTTTAACATACGCACATTAGCTGTATGGAACCCAGCTCTCCTGCGTGAGATGTGGGCACACTATAAGGCAACCAGTTTTTAGTTTTTAGTTTTTCAAAGTCACAATTCCTTTCATCCAGGCAAGCAAGAGGCATGATCCATGTTCAATGGCTCATAAACGAAAGAGATGTGGGGAAAGTGGGCACAGATCTCATTGGGACCTTAGCAGCATTTGGGGTGGGGTGCTTCAGATATTGGCCTTCCAGTGCCAAAGGCTCATCTACATGTTACCCAGGAAAAAGAGGGAGGGGCAATGGCTGAAGGGAAGATGTTTAAATACCACGCCAGCCAATCAGATCAAATGTTTACTGTCATATAACTGGCCCACAAAACAACCAGAATGAATGCTTGGGTATAATCCAACCTCTGTGTAAAAAAATTAGCATGAATCCTCAAAGATGGGTTGCATGGAGGAGCCCTCTTATGTCTTCTCACTGTGGGGCATGTATTATGCAATATAAGCCGTGGACCACAAGAGGGCACCCTTTCTCTACTCTCCCTTGCCAGCTTTCAGGATAACACCAATACCCAGAACCTGGCAACCTGTAAGATAAGAATTAAAAGAGTATCTCTGATTGCCCTTCTCTCATCACCAAGCACATCTCAGCTGGCTCTCACACAGCTGGGATCAAGTGATCCTGACTCACAGGGTGAACATCTCTCGGATTCCATAGTTGTGACAAAACCATAATCTGATGAGGGTGGCTTTGCTGTCCCCAAAGCGTGAGTGGGGAGTCGCGTCCCCAGGAATCTACATGTACAGCAAGAACATCTGAAGAGAAGGAGCCTAAAGTTTCAATAAAAATTTATATGGGGGGGGGTGGAATGAAGATAAGGAGCCTTCATTCTTTGTTTAATGATTTCAGCAGCCTGATTCATGTGCTATAAGACCTCAACTGCACTGTTAAAGCAGTAGCACACCACTTTAAAGGGTCATGATTTCCCCCAAAGAATCCCAGAAACTGTGGTAAGGTGTTGTTAGGAGACCATTATTCTCCTCCAAGAGCTACAATTCCCTAAGTTCCTTGGGAAGATGGATTGACTGTTGACGTATTCTGTGAATTGTAGCTCTGAGAGAGGGGATAGGGGTCTCTTAACAACCTTGAATTTCAGGTAAAAAATTGAGTAACCTAGCTAAGTAGAATTGACAGATTCATCCATCCTCTACAAACTGGGTGTGTGTATCAACCACCAAGCCTCTTTGGGCTTGCAGATCAGGTCAGCGGTTTGAATCCATGCAATGGTGGTGAGCTCCCATTGCTCTGTCCCAGCTCCTGCCAACCTAGCAGTTCAAAAGCACACCAGTGCAAGTAGGTAAATAGGTACCACTGTGGCGAGAAGGTAAACAGCATTTCCATGAGCTCTGGTACTTGTCACAATGTCCTGTTGCACCAGAAGCAGTTGTTGTTGTTGTTCTAATTTATATACCACCCTATACTTGGAGGTCTCAGGGCAGTTCACAGAATAAAATCAAAATAGAAAACCACAAAATACATAATCAAAAAACAACAACCCAATAACCCTCCCCCCAAAAAAAACACATTTTAAAAGGGCATAGGATCCTCACAACATTTAAAGTAAGACAATCAACAAACCTAGACAGGAGCCACTCGTTGGAAAGGCCATGATCTCAGAAATATTTGCAGCAATATTTATTGGCAACCAAATTGGCCGGTGCTTTTCTGATACAAAGACAAAAATAGCTTTGAAATAAGAGTGGGAGGGAAAATTAGCTTTGGTTGTTGAGCAGATGTCATGCTGGCAACATGACCCGGAAAGCTGTCTGTGGACAAACGCTGGCTCCCTTGGCCTGAAAAGCGAGATGAGCGCCACACCCCATATTCGCCTTTGACTGGACTTAACCATTCAGGGGTCCTTTACCTTACTGACTGCTATCTGTTTATCATGCAAAAATTTTTCTGTCTGCAGGTTCTTTTGTATCTCAAGAAACAAGAAGCAATTAAAGCCCCCCGCTGCAGGCTCCCTCCCCCCCCCCCGATGAAATATGCAGTTGAAGGACCAAGTCGTAGTGAACTCAGTAAGGCTTGCTTCCGAGTAAACATATGCAGGACCAGGCTTCAAAGCATACTGGCTGCCTTTTGATCAAATTAAATGTCTGTGTTTGCATTTTGGCTTAATGAAATGTCAGGTTAACTTCCCTCCTAATGAAATGTCCACATTTTCAAGCAGATGGCAAACACACCTCCTTAATGTCACAAGAGGTTTGGCTTCTGACTTCCTGCAAATAGTAATCGAGGGTGAGACTCTTAAGCGCTCACAGCCTGCTACAGTGCGACCCGAGAGGGAGAATTTCTTTAGAATTATTATTATTATTATTTTACAACTTGGGCTTTTTTCACTTTGGCTTTAAAAGTAATGGATGAAATGGATGAAAAAAGGTCACTGAAATGAAATAGCTCCTCTATTGGCAGGGCAGCTGACCATCAGGCAAAATTTGGTTAGGATATCTTACCCTTTTTTTTGCAAACCTTAGCTGGCTGGAGAACTGCATTGCAAAATTCTGGTACGTGCGAATTTCAATGGCTGGTTGTGTTTCAGTTCACAGATTGTCCTGTGAATTTGACAGATTCGCCCTTAAATACATACTAAATTGAATTTCCCTTCCCTGGCTGTTGAGCATGTTCTTGGATGCATGACCCCACATACCTAATGGAGGTCTTTGGTGTGCTAAGTGTGCAGCGTTCAGCCAGTGAACCTGGCTAGAGGATAGACTTTACCTGTTGTAACCACACAGAGAGAGATACTTGAAAGTAATAAAAAATAACAAAATAATTGCTGGAAGTGCATAACTTGGATAGAATTGTCTCTAGTTCTAACCTAGCTAATCTTGCTCCTTTGCTCTTCGAGGGTAGTTCCAAGGCCACCTCTCATCTTGAGGTCCGAGAGAGAAGTGTGAGAAGGAGGAGGAAGTTGTAAACAGGATGCAAAAATAAGAAATATCAGTCTAACATCAAAGAGATAGGGAGGTCAGCTGAGAGGTTAAAGGCACAGGGACAGTCTGGGAATCTGGAGGTCCCTCACTCTGTCTTTGGTTCCCAAATACAGAGGAACACCTCATTTCAACAATTATAAAAAATGATTCAGAAACCATTTGGAGTTTTTCATCTATGGAGACACTGCATCATTTAGATGTTTATTTAAAAAGCACATAAAACCCACAAACTTTGAAGAGGAAACACCATACATAAACAGGAAACCATAAAGCACATGGAAACAATATAGCAACCTTATTTGTTAATTTGAAAGGCAATATCCTACCTATGGCTTATCGATTGCATTTTACTGTTTAGATTGTATAGATTTTACTGTATAGATGGCATTTTACTGTTTTCCCCTGATATTTGTTGTTTAGGACCCAGAAACTCAGATATTCTCTGCAAGAGTTCTGTTCAAATGAACCCCTATGTTTTCCCACCCACCTTCTCCCAACAGAGCTTCTTTAAACTCATGTGCAATTCCAGAAATGTAAGTAGCTTCACTTCTGCAATTATAGACATAACTCTAGTAAAAGTACATTTCCTCCTTCACTGAATTCTTGCTTGCTTTGCACACATGTGGCTATCAGCCCTATTTCCTTGCACTTAGCATTGGACTACAGTCCAACACAAGATTAACCCTGGAAGCTGGTCCATTAGGTCACTGCCGCCGTACCAGCCACAGTGTGCCCTCAGCCAGCCCCCACCTGCCTGCCTTCTTGCAGTTAGTCCAGAGGGTGGCACTGACCACCAGCTTCCTCCTCCTTAGTCTCAGTGTTGCCTCTTGTAGGCCATCAGGGAGGTGGATGGAAACAACACTAGACTTATCTGGCTCTAGGTTGTCATTGGCTCTGGCGCCACCTACTGTTGGGCTCCTGCCTTACACCCTACCAGCCCCAATAAGCACCAGCCACTATGTTTAAATTCAAAGGGGATGTCTTACTCAATGGATGCTGCACAACATGGACCCAAACTTTTGAAAAGGATACCATTTTCTGTCTACAAAAAGCCGTACTCTAGAGTAGGGATGGGAGGATATGTCAGTTTTAATTTTCTAAGTTTATTGTTTTTCCTATCTTAAATTCAGTTCTCCACATTTCGCAGCAATTCGCGACTCACTCAAAAAAATCCTAATGCAAATTCATCACTCTTTTAGAGCTAATTTCTCCTGATAAACGCTTTTTGTTTTTTGGCATGCAACTTTTACTAATATTTACATTTCTGCAAGCACTTTCACCTGGTAAAATGCACTTTCGGATGTTATTTTCTTCAGCATGTCCATTTCTATCCACACTTACCCCAAATATATGCATTTTTTTAAAAAAAAACATTGGTTGGAGAACTGCATTGCAAAATTCAGGTAAGAGTGGCATTTGAAGGAAAGCTGTGTTTTGGTTTGGATATTGTTTTGGAAAGTGCAAAATTGATCAAATTTTCTAATGTGCATTGAATTGAATTTCTCCTTTATCTCTACTCTAGACCACTTAGTTTTTGTATGTGATGCCTTTCTACTCCTCTTTTCCACCTTGGAGCAGCATCCACAGATTTAAAATAAAGTAGCCAGGCCCTAATTAGCTTCAGAAATTGCACCAATCCATACACCTTCAGTCCACTTTCTCTCCTGAGCATCTAAGGAGTAAACATTCGTTACACAGTTGCTGAATCTACAGCTCTAATTTTTAAAACACTGAACTAGTACCAGTCACACACGAAAGCCTATAGCAGCAGATCCAGCTCTTATTTTAAGCACAAAGCCAACCATATGCACCATCATGTGCAAATAAACCATATTATTTTATTTTTAATTTATTTTCTATAATAGTCACATAGTTTCCACTCCAGAAGACCGCTTCCAACCAAGGTGGCCAGATAAGGACAAGACAGGCATTTGTTAGGTTAAGATAGACAACACTAGGCAATATTTTGTAGAGTGCAAAAATATTGTAAAATGGCTTTTCAGTATAGTTACAAGGCCAAAATCCCCTGAGTGAGCACATTCCCCTTTCTGAACACACACACATTTATTCTATAGACAAATGTACTCTGCTGAAGAACCTTCAAAGATAGTTAGCTGGCTGGTAAAATAGCCTGTGATGATACTATCAGACCAGCTAGTATGATGTCGTGATTAGATCTCCTGAATTAAATAAATAAATAAAGACAAATTCAGCTCCTTGAGGATGGGGTTACAGATCTGTATCAGTGTTTGGAGGATTTTCTCTTCTCAATCTATACACCCTCCTCTTCTACCATCTCCCCAGTTGAAGTTAACCCCAGGACACAGGCCAAGAAAGATATCAGAAGAGCTACCATACATGCACGTCTGGTTTCTCAGTAGGTACAATGCAGACATAGTCAATTGGGAAATGACCCTCAAGAGGGCCACAAATGGAATAACAGTGAGGAGCAAAATTATGACTATTTTGGGGACTGATACAGTCCTTGTACAGCTGTCCCAGAACGTTGAAGGTGTCATCTGATCAGTCAACACATCAAGTGTCCAATTGGAAGACTCACTGCTGGTTTTGGCATGGGAGTGAGGTGGTTCCCAAGCAAGGACCTTCTCTTACCTTCTTCCTGCTTAAGTGAGGGATAAAAGAGTACAGTCCACCAGATTTCTCCCATATTACAGCCATGATGTGCTTTCCTTTTTCCAAAGAAAGGGGGGGGGTCAATCAAGGTGGTCATCTAATAGACCAATCAGTACACAGAACTGAAATCAGATACTAATTCAGAGAAGGGAAGAGGAAGGTGGAGGAAGGCATAGACTCTGGGGTAGAATGAAGGGGCAGACAAGGACAACTATAAAAAAAGGAGATAGCATAGTCTTCATTCTGATACATAGGTCACCCCAAATGCAAGGTCCAACCCTATTAATTTATGATCTTACATTTCCACTTCTGCTCCAAAAGGCCAAGTTAGCTTAGAGCAACCTGTTTGCTACTTAACCCGAGTGGTGCCTCGGGTTAAGTACTTATTTCGTTCCAGAGGTTCATTTTTAACCGGAAACTGTTCTTAACCTGAAGCACCACTTTAGCTAATGGGGCCTGCCGCTGCCACCGTGCCGCTGGAGCATGATTTCTGTTCTCATCCTGAAGCAAAGTACTTAACCCAAGGTACTATTTCTGGGTTAGTGGGGTCTGTAACCTGACACGTATGTAACCTGAAGCGTATGTAACCCAAGGTACCACTGTAGTTATTAATTGTTTGGAAACATTTGCCACAAAGGCGGGGTGGGAGTGGGGAATCAATGGCATTCTTTCCAAGAGAGTAACCATTGTATTGCATTTTGCCTCAGTGCAAGCAGCCCAATGAAACAGGGGTGCAATTAATGCAGCCCAAGAGATAAAAATAAAAATAATAAATAGAATAATTGACTCATTAAAACTATTTGGATAATTTTTTAAGCAATTAATTTTTTTTATCTTTGCCTTCTCTGATAAAAATTTAAAAACGGCATTTTTTTTTTAAAAAAGAAGAAAATCCATATGTTCTTTATATTAAAAATAAAATACAAAACATCAACACATACACAAATATATTCGGCCTTTTAGATTCAGTCTTCTTTTTTATCAGAGACACTGACAATGGAATGGTCATCATCACTGGCCTGAGGACAAACTTTATTCCTTGGCACCGACGCAATCTCTGAAACTGGGGTTTTCACAGTTGGCGTGCTGCAAGTAAATTCTGTCTCTGGAAATATTTGGCAACGTTGTAGCTCGAGGTATGTTGTGAACAGTTTGGCGTATTCGGGATGTTTAAGAGCAAAATCCTTGAACTCTTCTGAAAATCAAGAAGCACAAGAAGTTATTTCTAACACTGGGGGAGTTTGGGCATTGCGTTAAACCATAGCTTTAGCATGAGCTTCTGCTTTTGCTGAGGTGCACCTCATCATGTCGTCTGGACTGATAGCCCGTGGTTTGACTGAGACTAGCCAACTGCAAAACATGTACTGGGAAATTGGATTGTTTAAACAAACCACAGTTAATATTAAACCACAGTGTTAGGTTCAGACAAAAGTCTACTGTCCATGTTTCCATGTCAGGGTAAACTGGCTCCGTTCAGGTGCTCCAGTTAGGAGCTTCTGAGTGAAACCCATCTGAGTGACTGGGCCTTCCTTTTGGCACTAAATTCAAAAGCTGCTAATTGCAAGCTCTACTTGTTAAGGAACAATTGAGATTGCACTTTAAGTCTTCCAATTGTTCTTTTTCGGCCGCAGTTTTACCTCCCCGACACCTGACTCCCCATGACATCAGATGTGGGGCAGCTAGGCTTGGCTGGGGGAAAAGCAGCCTCGCAGGGCAAATAAATACCTCTGAGAACCCCAATTTGGCCTGGAGGTTCCTCCCCTCTGCACTAAACTATGATTAAGGGTACGTCTAGATCAGCCTTTCTGTATCTGTGGGTCCTCAGATGTTGTTGAACTACAACTCCCATCACCCCTAGCTAGCACGGCCAGAGCTCAGGGATGATGGGAGTTGTAGTCCAACAACATCTGGGGACCCACAGGTTGAGAACCGCTGGTCTAGATAGACCATTTACTGCACATTCAATCTGAGTTGTTTGCAAGGAGATTAGACGCCACTGGCTCTTTAAAGAGCCTTCATTCTCATTTGCTTGCAGGGAGGTTAGATGACGTTGCGGGTGTTGCCCCCACACTTTCCAGAGCCATTTCCCCACCACTTTCCATGTCACAAAAAGTTGAATCTTTTGCGAAAGGGAGTTGGTTGCTCAATACCACCAAAACCACTCTAAATGTACAACTTGAATCCCACCTGAAAAGAGCAACAGACTGGAAGCGCTGGAACCGTGATATCCGAAAATGATAGTTAATTACAACTTTTAGGGGGCACCATACTTACAACAATAAATGCTTAGAGGGCTGCAGTTACACTACAGATGTAAAAGGAGGTCCACCTTGTTGAGCGATCATTGGTTTCTGAACAGAAATACTGGGACTGTAGGCAAAACCTAAGGATTCACCCAGTCAACTTGGCATCCTCAGGTCCAGACAACAATTCCCAAGGAAGCAATGACACTTTTGGCTTGGCGACACTTACCATAGGAGAGCTTTTTAGAGTTGTCAGCATCTATTTCCTTGAACAGATTAGAAACGTCGAGGCTAGGAAGCCCAAGCGCTGAACGCATAATTAAGCTAAATTCGTCTTCGTTTATGATGCCATCTTCATCGACGTCAAAGAGCTGGAGAAAAGAGGCACGTGTTGATGTTTCGCAATGGGAACTGTTGTTACATTGGGAACAGCCAAAAGGGCTTTACAGTTAAATAAGTCAAGGGAATTACAGAGGAACCCTCAACAGATGGAGGGTGGTGGCATGGCACATCAAGGGAGGGTTAGGAATTTGAGCAAACCATACATCACTGTGTAAAGTAATGTGAGATGGGCACTCTTGATAAGGCTGCAGTTTAGATAAAGAGACTAGATCAACAGACTAGATAAATATAAGCATTTGCTAATTCATTTAATGCATGAGCTTTCTTGAAATTAATCATTTAATCAATAAGATAAATATTTTACAAAATAAATTAAAGGAAAACAATGCCATATGGAGGCATTAGGCATTTTCTATTTCATCAGGAAACTCTGGCTGTATCTACACGCTGCAGCTTCTGTGCAATAATTTAGATTTTAAAAACTCCCCCCACCTTAGTTTGCAGCAATCTATCTGTTATATACTGAGTTGAATAGGATCCAAAAGGCAGCAGTCTGATTGGTCCTAGAACAACAGGATTCAGAATGCAGCTGAATAAAGAGCTTGAAATCCACTCTCGACTCCGAGTATATTTCACTATCTTTTTAAAAATATTAAACCTATTGACAATAATGGCCATGGCTACTCTACTAAGTCCATTGATTTCAATGGGCCTACTCTGAGCAGTACTTTGTTAGAGCCCCCCCCAATGGATTTTGAAAGTTTATATGTATAGCGGAACTCTTTTTGGAGTTAAGATGCTAAGCTTGAGGACTTACCTGAAATGCCATTTGAATGGTCTGTTCTGTGTTGGCAGGGTTGCAAACCACGGACAAACCAATAACGTACTCTCTGAAGTCTATGGTACCATCTCCATTCTGTAAGAAATGCAGGGCAACATTCAAAGGGCATGTGCTGCTCTCCTCTCCCTGACATTGTTGGGCCACATTCACAGCATACATTTAAAGCACTATGACGCCACTCTAATCAGCCATGGCTTCCCCCAAAGGATTATGGAAGCCGTAGTTTGTTGAGGGTGCTGAGAGTTGTTAGGGGACCCCTATTCCCCTCACAGAGCTACAGTTCCAAAAAAATGATCAACCATCAGTTCATCTTCACAGAGAATTCTACTTGTCACACCACACCCTACAGAATATCACAGAAAATGGGTGTTTTCTGCTGTTGCCCCTCTTCTGTGGAATGCCCTCCCCTCTGTTATATACATAAAATGACAACCACCAGCTGCTTAGACATCTTGTGATGATTTATCTTTTCATCCAGGCTTCCCCTGACCCATAAGAGTGGACTGCTTAACATGTTTTGGGTCTTATACATTTCTTAGGGTTGCCATATTTCAAGGGGTAAAAAATAGGGACACAAAAAGTTGTTGAGCTTTTTTAGGGCAATTGCGCCCGTGCCAGAGCCTGAACCAGAGCTGCTGGTGCACACACACACACAACCAAAATCCTAGACATTTGTTTAAAATGTAAAATTCCCCCCAGATGTGCATGAAGGACCCCCAAAATAGGACATGTCTGGAAATTCCCAGACGTATGGCAACCCTAACATTTCTGATTATTTTGCTTTAATATGCATTTATTTATTTATCTAACAAACTATATCCTTTATGTAAATATTTATATGTGTAGTGTATGTGTGTGTTTCTCTCTGTGTGTATGCACCCACACACAATATTCTAGTGCAAGGAGCAGGCTCCATTTCAAGCCACTGGCTATATCATCTGAAAGAGGCTGGCATACCAGCCCTCAGAGACTGGCCAGTTTCCAGACTTTAAGGCAGAGGAAGGGATGGGCTCTGCCTTAAAAGAATGGAATGTGTGCAAACTGGAATTAGCACATTTAACTGCCTCCCTCCCACCCCAATCTGCATCCCCAGTAAGGGGAGAAAAAAGTATTTCTACTCTTGGGAGCGGGGAGAGAACAGGCTTGCAAAGACAAATAAAAGTTATTTTATTTGTTAATGTAGCAAAGATCACAAGCCTAGATTAGTATTTTCTCTTCTTTCCTGCCTCCTGTACTAAAAATAAAGGATAGATTTGTAGCATACTGGTACTAGTGTGTTGGGTTGGCATCAAAAGTCGATGTCAATAGATACCTGCCAAATCCCTTTTGCCTTTACCATCATGGAAGAATTAGCCAATTTTCGTTTCTCCTATTTCTAGTCTTAAAGTGAAATTCTCTGCACCACTGCAGCAATCTGCAAATTTCCTTTTCAATAATCTTCTATAAATTCACCAGCATTTAGTGTGAATTCCTCCTGGTAAACATGCAGTTTTGACTAATATACACATTTCTGACAGGCAATGGAATAATAACATGCAATTTTGTGTGTTATCTTCAATAATGCTTGCATTTTTATGTTCTCATGGATGCAAATATGAAAGTTGCAGGGAAAGTATGCAGAAAATGCCCAGTGAAGCTTCATGAGCTAAAGAGAGGTTAACTGTCAAAACTGAAAACACAATGAACCTTCATTCCTCCTATATGCATATAAATGTAAGGCAACTGTCATGCTGCAGTTCACCTGCCTGCCAACAGGTGGCAGGCAGGTGAGCAAGCAAGCAGTGTGGGTAGGAGGAGGCCCAGGTGAGCATTTTAACAGAAAGGGGGACACACTTCAAAGAGTGATATGGCAAACTGCTCTTTGAATCTTGCCCCTCTTCTTTAAAAAGGGGTGGGGTTGCAGCAAGTGGTCGGGGGAGGGCTTGAAGTGAGGTATTAGGGGATAGGCAAGGGGTGAGTGATGTGTAAATGGAAGTGAGTTGACAAAGAGTTTGGTGGGCAGGCAGGGTTGGCAATTGGAGTGAGAAGTAATCATAATTAAAATGATTTTGAGTGTTGTTGCTTTTAGCACCTTTGATAGAGCAAACATACATTTGGAACTTCCTAGAGATGGAGTGCCTGTTGCGAAGACAGCTAAGTCAGTGATTATTCCCCCACTCCGCCATCACCTACTTTTCCAGTTCCAAATGGCCCCCTCCTAAAACAGCTCCTCTTTATGAAAAGAAAGGAAAAATAGCCAGCAAGGATTGGCTGTGCACATCATACAATGTTTACAGAGGCCCTCCCAGGCCAGCTGCAGCTATTCAAATAACACCATTCCAAAAACCAATATGAAGAACAACGGACATGGTAGGGCGTTCCCACTTTGGGTGGGGAGATGAGCCATGCCAAAAATAGGTGTCTGGGTTTCTTAATTTGAGAAAGGGCTTGCCAAGAAAATATGAATCATCTCTGCACACTCCGTTTACTAAACACGCAAACACCTGGGTTTAGGTCTGAAAAAGAAAAGGAGGGGAGCCAGGATTCAACATAAAGTCAGAACTGGTAACATGGTGGAAACATGAAGAGGTGGTTTTAGAAGAGGTGCAAACCTGGGGCATGTACAAGAAAGGGAGAAGAGAAGTTACAATGTGGAGTTCAGTGTTCTCTCTGTGTGTGTGTTCTCTCTCTCTGTGCACCTCTTTTCCTTCTCCCCCATCCTCAAAGGTAGAAGGTCAAATACGTAGACAGGCGATGTCGCTGCATATTGCGATGCCAGTGTGGTGCCATGGAGAAAGGACCTGGTTTGGTATAAGGCACCTGGCTTCCTTTGTTCATATATGGACAAGGCTATAGCTCAGTGGCAGAGCATCTCTGCATGCAGAAGGTGAAAGATGCAATGCCCAGCATCTCACATTGACCTACTGCAAGTCACTCTGCATGGAGCTGCCCTTGAAGGCAATTTGGAAACTTCGACGGGTTCACAATGCAGCGACCAGGTTACCAGCTGAGGTCTCATTGATGGCTCCTGTTTCAAAAACAGCTGCAAGAGGCATGATCACAGGTCAAGGACAGATTTCTGTCAGGTGTAAAACAACAGAGGAGGGTGCAAAGCAGAGCTGGGGAAGGGTGAGAGTCCTGAGGGCCAGAAATAATGGTCTGGGAGGCCACATGCATCTCCCAGGCCCAAAGGTTCCCCAGCTCTGGTTTAAAGTAAGAAAGCATTAAGAAGAAATGAGGTATCGCCCAGGGATCTGAAGCCCTGGGCTCTATTCTACTATAAACATCAATGAGGGTTTCCCCACGCCCTCCCAGTTTTCAAGTTATTGCATTGCTGAGTGCAAAAATAAGTTTCTCTCACCCCCCGCCCCGGGTCATACCAAGCTGCAACATGATCAAATAAATGGCAGAGACCTCTTTCTTTGTTGTTATGATCCAAGTTTATTCGCCCTTATTTTCACCCCTTCATGGCCATGAATTAGCCAAATATCTACTTTGTCACTGCTTGCTTGGGATTCAAATGTGCCCTTGGGCAAAATGATGCAAAACACTGAACAAAAGCTACGGACTACAACTCTGCTCAGCTTGCAACTCGCTCTCCCCCCAGTACCCATTCCTGTGTCTAAGTTTACAGCATTCCAGCTAACAGCGGACTTGGGTGGCCGAGTGCCAGTCACGTTTCAGAAGAGGAACAGCACCACCCAAAAACAAGCTAGCGAATATAGAATGATGAGGTGTCTGGGGGGGGGGGGAGAAATGTAAATGGGAGATGGCATGGGAATGGGAACTGGTCTCCGCAAGCCCCTGATGGTGTACAGTAAACATCTGCAGAGAGGAAAGATTTGAGGAGGATTTTTTGGGAGGGGGCAGGGGTTCCGGCCTGCACCATACAGCGATGCATTTTCCTGCAGTATAACTATATATCAGAGACACCCCACACCCTTCAACACATGATTGCTGCCTGTGAAAGCAACAGTCTTCTCTGCCCAATTTAGACACTTTTAAAAATACAGTTTTGGTCCTAGACACGAGTACAGCTTACACAAGAAAAGTGTATGCATGCTCCCAAAATGATAAACAATGCATTTCTAAAACACACCAGCCATTTTCATTACTTAAACAAAAACACTTAAAGGAAAACTTTGCAAACCATAGACAACAAAGCTAAAATGAGCACCTTGAGTAAAGCCAGATGTAAGTATACAACCTCCCCTACCTTGCCTATTTCCCTGGCAAGCCTAAAACGTAGCGATGGCACGAGAGTCAGCCTCGTTTCCAGAAAGAAACAGAGTCCAGCTATGTAACTAAAAAGTAGCGCTTGCAGCCTGAAGCTGGGAATGAGTGCCGGATTCTCCTCCCTGCCTCCTGGGTTGCTTTCAAGAGTACATGGTCAACTGCAGCCAGTCCTGGATGTTCATCTGGACTTTGCCATCGCCAGCCCTGTCCAGGGACTTGAAGGCTCGGAACATGCCATCCAGGCGCACCAGGCAGCTGATGAAGTTGTTGAAATCCATGCTGCCGTCTTCGTCGGCGTACCGGCGGATGATTAGCGCATAGATCTGCTCATGCAGGTGAAAGCCGGCGGCCTTGAAGGCATCAGGCAGCCGGGCCATTTCAATGGTCCCCGCCGGGCCCATGTGCTGCTTGAAGACGCACTGCCACTTCTTGATGTTATTCCACAGGTATCTGAACTGGTAGAAGTCCAGCTTGCCCGTGGTGTCGCTGTCCATGACAGACACCATGCTCCGGCAGGTGTCCAGGCTGAAGCCCCCGCCTTTCAGGTCCTGGTGCCTGGCCATCACCTTGTTGAGGATTTCCATCAGCTCCGTGGGGCACACCTCCATGTCGTCGCCAGCCAGCTGGGCAAAGAGGCGGCGGAACTGGCGCATCTCCTCGCTCTCGTTGGCTTCCACATTTGCAAAATGGCTGCGGGGGGTCGGTGGCGGCTCGGGAGTGTACTGAGCTGCCGCTTCGCTGATGAGGTTGACGATTCCCCCGACGATCCCCACAATGTTCCCCGCTTTGCTTCCGCCACCTCCTCCTCCTCCTGCCAAGAGCCCTCCAAGGCCTCTCACCAGGGCTCCCCCAGCACCACCTCCACCTCCGAGGCCTTTCATGAGGGCTCCACCAGCACCACCGCCACCTCCTCCTGCAATGCTTCTCAGTAGGGCTCCGCCAGCACCACCACCTCCTCCACCTCCTGCAATGCTTCTCAGAAGGGCTCCTCCGGCGCTACCACCACCACCGCCACCACCGCTACTGGTAGCGGTGTCCAACAAAGCCTGAACGAGGAACATGGCGAAGACTCGGAGAGACCCAAGCAGCTTCCAAAAAGCTCTGAGGGCGTCTGAGGAGAGCACAGTTGGGTGTGCGCTACAAGAGCAACGGATCTGTCAAAGCAATTACCGCCTGCCATGCCCATACATGTCGTCTTTCACAGCTGGAATCCATGGGCGTTGCAGGACTCCGCCCTCTGCTGCACATGAACAAAGGCAGCTGCTTCTCACAGTGCATCGGCAGTTGCAAACCCTTTCCCTGGAGACGCCAGACTCTTTTTAACCTCATTCCCCGTTCCTCCTTCCTTGCACTGATTCTATGCTGTCCCCCTGCTCGCCCAGCAATGCATCATCTCTCCTCCTTATGGTAAATTTGGATTCTTTTTATTGAAAAAGAAGAAGACTGCATGAGGATTGAATTACAAGCACAGCTTCTGCAGGAAGGATTACGGGGGGAGTGGGGGAGCATGCTTACCCTGTCAAATAGGGCAAACAGCTGTTCAAGAGCATCAGAGACGGGCAGCTTCAGGTAGTTGGCAAACTCCTCGATTCCAATCCTGCCCCCCTTGGAGGTGCTGGCGATCGCAGCAAACTGGTCCAACTGCTCTCTGACGCTGTCCCATTTTAGACTATTGAAAGGGAAGAAAAAGTCCAGAGGCCCCACTTGCCATTAGTAAAGGCCACTGAGGGCTCAAAAGTAAAAGAAAAGTAGCAAAGAAGCATGCTCCTGTTCATGCCTCCAGCCAGCCAGCTAGCCAGAGCCATTCCATGCTCCATTCCATTCCATTCCCCCTTCACCTTATGGTTCTGTCTCCCCCTTCCTACAGTCAGCCAGAATCCCATGGCCACTAAACACACTCAATCCTGCTTGAACTATTTAGGATTATCCCCCTGCCCCATTTTTTCCCTTGTACATCTGCAAACCCTGGAGTTCTTTATTATGCATGGATGGATTAGCTACCCAAGGAGCCACATTCGAGTTTGCTATCCATATGCAGCAGGGACAGGGAGACCTGTGGCCTTCCAGATGTTGGATACAAGCAGAGCATCTTTCAAGTCAAGCATTCAACAGCCCACAAATCTTTCCTCTGAATCAAGCAAAAGCAAAGCACTTACTTCAGTTTCTTGCTGATTTTGGTGAATTCCACCAATCCTGCCTCCATGGGCAAGGTCAGCTGTCCGGCCGAGATCATCAGGCGGCAGTCTTCGTACGTGTGGTCCGTAGTGGCCACATCCAAAGCCCTGAAATTAAACATATGTATGACACCACTTTAGAAGGTAAGCTCATCTTCTTGTTCTAGGCAAAGTAAAAGCACTGACTTTATAAACTAGCGCTATCCTGAAAGATTTCACCATATTTGATTGGTTGTTTGCCATCAGTTAATGAGAAACAAAACTGCACTGAAAAATCATCAAAGAGAGTAAAAATTTTGGTGACCTTCTCTTGAGTGTGATGCAGGGCCTTTGATGTGCTCATGTTTCCTTTCAAGGTGGCTGAGGAATGTTTGATACACCATACATTTAAAGCACTGTACCACGTAAAACAGTTGTGGCTTCCCCCAAGAATTCTGGGAGCTGTAGTTTGTTAAGGGTGCTGACAGTTAGGAGACCTCTCTGTGAGTGACCCAGAGAGAAGGGATTTGGCTTAGGAAGAGTCCTGAGGGTTGGATAGAGAGTGTTGAAGAGTCTGGGGTTCTCCACCAATTATGTAGTGGCACTCACACAGGCTGGAAGGATTCAAGCCTGATATAATTTTACACCAGTCACCTGCCACCTTAAGGTAACCTTGCAAAAGGATTCCCACGTCACCTTGCCATTTTGTTACGGACTCCACTGGCAAAAAGGACTGGATCCTTCTTTTCTTCCTCGGAGGGAATGTAGACTGGAAGAAACTGAAATAATAATAAAAATGCAGTTACACAAGCCAGTAGAGTCTTAATAACCTAGGTAGGTTATATTTCAGGACTACTAAAATAAATGGATTTGATTTTGAATCCATTTATTTCAACAGGTCTAGTGTATGTCAATTGTTGGCTATTACCTGTATATCTATTTATGTATGCATATATCAAATCTATCAATGGGTCTATATCATATCACTTTAAGCAGTCATAGCTTCCCCTGAAGCATCCTGGAAGCTGTAGTTTGCTAATCCGCACAGAGCTACAATTCCCAGAGTGGTAAAACAATCAACCCCTCCCCCCCCTCCAGGAGCTCTGGGAATTGTAGCTCTGGGGTCCCCTAGCAACTATGAACACCCTTAACAAACCACACCTCCTAGGATTTTTTTGAGGAATCCATGGCTGTTTCGGGTGGTATGATGCTGCTTCAAAAGTATAGTGCAGATTGGGCCTCTTTGTGTATATATCCATGCAATATACAAACTTGATGAAATCTGCTGGGGAAGATAAGCAGGTCTGCCAGTAGATGGCAGCACATCCATATATATTAAAAAAGCAAAATGCTCAACGGCAAAAATTAGCTGCACTAAAAACCTCTGTAACCAGTGCTCCCCCCCCCCCCAAATGTTTAGGGGTACTGTAATTTTCCTACTCAGATTGAAATACTGCCCCTCAATGAGGTCAAACTTAGATTCACAAAATGTTTAGGGGTATACGTACCCCTGGGACACGGGTGGCGCTGTGGGTTAAACCACAGAGCCTAGGACTTGCCAATCAGAAGGTTGGCAGTTAAAATCCCCGCGACGGGGTGAGCTCCCGTTGCTCGGTCCCTGCTCCTGCCAACCTAGCAGTTTGAAAGCACGTCAAAGTGCAAGTAGATAAATAGGTACTGCTCCAGCGGGAAGGTAAACAGCGTTTCCGTGCGCTGCTCTGGTTCGCCAGAAGCGGCTTGGTCATGCTGGCCACATGACCTGGAAGGTGTATGCCGGCTCCCTCGGCCAATAAAGTGAAATAAGCGCCGCAACCCCAGAGTCGGCCATGACTGGACCTAATGGTCAGGGGTCCCTTTACCTTTACTTTACCCCCAGAAAAAAAGCACTGTCTGTAACTATAACTCTTTAAATTAACTATAACTCTTTAAATTAACTATAACAATGAATGGGATGGCTACTTCAACACAGTCGTGGCACAAGCCATTTGGGGAAGTTAGCATTGATTTCAATGTGTGGGCTGGGAGCAGGTTTAGGCTTCCCCTTTCGCCATACAGCTATGCTGGTCATGGGGATATCAGGAGTGGGGGCTGGGGCAGAGGATGTGCAACAGTGAGTGCAGGCTAGCTGGCAAGGCGCTGACCCCAGCGTGTGTCCATGTCAAGACATGATCTACTATTTGAAGGTGGCTGCAGAGTATCTCTTATCAATACGCAAGGCCTGGATTCACAAAATGGATATACGTTTTCTTCTTATATACATAAAAAGGTAAGGCTGTCGTTGTACAGCTCGCAATGGAAGATTTTTAGTGCTTCATCAGAATTCCGATTTGCATGAAGCCACAGTAGAGGATCACGGGAACAAAAGAGGAGGCTGGTTTTAAAATGGTGGTTTTGAACAACAGCAGAGAGTTGAATAAAGCAGGAGTGAAGGGACACAGCAGAGCTTTGAGGATATAGGGGGAGCTGGAAGGAGCAGCGGGGATTTGAGGGGGTTGGGTTAGGTATAAAGCGAGGCGGTTATGTCTTGGGAAGAGGTGGGCTTTTGGTGCAGGGGTTGGTGAGCAATGCAAGTAGGGATGGTGGCCCCAAGCACTACAATAAAAATGGTTTAAAAATGGAATATAGTTTGTTCCCTTTTCTGCAAAAGGGAAGGAGGAAGGGGGGGTACTGAAGTTTTAATCGATTTTAGCATTTCTCACATCTTAACATGCTAAGCCTCAAGTTTTAATTTTATTTATATTTTTCAGTGTTACATTTTTCAAAATCACATTCACATTAAAATAAGCATTTCCCCATCCATATCTTTCTATAAAATCATTTGCGACTTCCCTTCTTCACCTTCCCTGGTTCCTTTAATTTTCTCACCTGATCAGTGTATCTTTCCAATTATTTCCAATTATTTCGGCAATGGACAAGGGTTAAACAACAACACGTGCTTTTTAAAAAGAAGAACATGAGAGTTTATTTAAAGCACAGGATTGGGGAGAGAGGCAAACCCTCTAGGTCCAATTTAGCAGGGAAGAAGAGAAAGGAAGCTTTTCTATCATTGTTCAATGTCAGTTCTCAAACATTTGCAAACTAATTGCTTGCAAACTAATCAACACATTCAGGTTTAAAATAGCAGCATTTCTCTGGTTCTCACCTCCACTTCAACTTTTGTAAACAGCTGGCACAAAGTCAAGACTAATGCCTCCTTGCTGGAAAAGAATTAAAATAAAACAAAGGTTGCAAACCATTTTCAAATCAATCCATTTAAACGTGACATTTAAACAGCTAAGTTTTCAAATGCACATCACAAAGCAGATCTAAATATTTTTAGAAGGCACTTGTAATGATAATTAGGCTTTGCAATGAAGTGTCTCACATCCTTGCTAGCAATCCTTGCTACAGCCTTGAGATGATAGGCTATTTAATGCATTTTAACAATTTATGTAATTTATGCAATGCCTTTCCAGAGTGGCTGACAATCTGGACGCTGTAAACAAAACAGCATTATTATGGATGAAGCTGAAAGGAAAGGGGCTTGTTTAAGACCCCAGCCCCCATGGGTTCAAGTTATGGGTATGGTTCTCACAGTGGCCAACCAGATGCCTGGGGAAAACCTGAAAGCCGGACATGAGCACAGAAGCATCTCTCCCCTGAGACTTCCAGCAACTGGTTTTCGGAAGCATAGTGCCTCCAATCATGCAGGCAGAGTGTAGCCACCACAGGTAGTAACCATTGATAGCCGTATCCAGCCTACAACCCATCAACTCATCATTGAGTGCTTTTGCCTGTCCTTGAACTTGGATAATGTTTCTGGCTTACCTGGATGGAGGACAGGGAGGGAGGACAGGAAGGGATGAGTGACCTAGGTAATGTGTTGCTCCACCAACTTTCGCTTCTGGCCTTCCTCACTACCAGCATGTGCCCCACCCCACCCCCACCCCAAAGGTTGCTCAGAAGGGAACACAGCCCTTGGGATGAGAATGGTTCCCTACCGCTGCCCCATTAGTATACAACTGCTTCAATATAAACCTTCTGAACCTTCTGAACATGGCACCCATATCTAAAGATCTGTATATGCAGCACATACAAAGATGCTGCAACTACTATTGTCAACAGCCGCCGGCGATAAAAACGTTTGTCATTAGGGTGGTGCCACTTACAAATTGTAGCCCTGCCAAGTCCACGTCACGGTATCCTAGAGGCAAGCAAATAAAATAAATGAATAGTTATAAACAGCTCGTTGGACAAATGGAAAGCAAAGCACAGCCGAGAACAGGACATGGGCGTGATTCACTAGCAAGTCTCTAGCAGGATACCTGTGTTTCTCCAGAGGCTGTGGACCAAGTCTCACCATCCCTGACCACTGGTCACACTAGCCATGGTTGATGAGACTTGGAATCTAGCAACACCTGGAGGGCCACAACCTCCTCCCCTCCACCTTATCAGATGAAACAGAGGAGGAGACACAGGACTCACTCCAACAGCTCCATCAGGCCTCCTCTCCCTCAACAGTCACATGGGGACAGGAATATCACGAGGCTGTCTCAGTGGGAGAGGTGGCCAGCAGGACTCACTCACTTCATCAGCTTTGCCACAAGTCCACCTTCATCAGGCACCTCCTGCCCCTGAACTAGGCCAACTGGTCATTATAAGAACAACTATTTAAGAACTGGTGCCAGAATTTGACCACACCCATCATCCCCTCCCCATGCCTTTCTCCTTCTACAGTATGTGGTGTTTTTTCTAGGTTCTAAGCCTGTGGGCAGGGGCTGTCTTGTTTTAACTGTTTGTATATAAGTCAGTCTGGGAGCCTTTTTGGCTGAAGAGTAGAGGTACAAATGCTCTAAATAAACAAACAGCAAGAGCAGAAATTGGTTTATGGCTCCTGACAAGGGATGGGGGAGAAAATTTTATTCTGTTTGCACCTAAAGCAAAATTTATCACATTTGCACTGTCCAAAACAACACAAGGACTGAAATACAGGCATCTTTCGAATTTTGCACTTATTTGAATTTCGCGATGACTGTTAATGTCTGCAACAACGCATGTGTTAGAGGGGAAATGTGTGCATTAAAATGTGTTAGTGAAAACAAGATGCAAAGATGGTGTTATGTTAAGAGAAATTGCTGGTGAAATGTGTACATTCATCAAAACCACATTGTAAAAGTGTGTTCACGCGGAGAAATTCACACTATCACTTTGAAGAATTTTCACGCAGATTTTTTTTTTTTTTTAAAGAAAACATAAATTGGTGCAGAAATGTAGAAAACCTACTTCAAGAATGGAAAAATGAGAAGCCGAGAGGGCTGGATCTGGCACATCCTCCCATCCCTACTGTGAACTAACAGACAAGGTACAGAGCGCCAGACCCAAAATTTCCAAACCATAACATGCAGTATGAGTGCTGAGACTCTGGTCCAGGGAGGCAAATGCAGCCCCCTGAGTCTCTCCATCTGGCTCCTGCTTTGAACCCTCCTTGAATCTTTCTGTGGGGTTGGAATGTGTCCTTGAACTCTGAAAAATCTGTTCGCCTGCTTGCCTGAACAATAGGGGGGGTTACCATTTGCACCCACTGCTCTGCTCACTTTTGTCTCTGACCCTGCAGAAGGAACACAGCTCCCAGGCTGAAAATGGTTCCTCAGCCCTAACACGATATGAGGCAAGACCGCACAGGCCTGTCATGTTACCTCACAGGAGCAAATAACTGTCATTTACTTAGATGTGGCAATGCCAAGAGGTTTAACTTGCAGAAACCACTGGTGGAAAAGCATAACCAGTTTCCTGCCCTTGGTGACGGTGGTGTCTGTGGTGAGAGGATGCCAGAGTGTGCTCTCAGCTGTATTTCAGGTGGAGTTTTCTTCGTCAGCAGGCAGCATGACAGAATGCATAGAGGGAGCCTATTGTGGGATAGTTCGCACACCCAAATGGTGGTCTGCATGTGTGAATGGGCCATCGCAGACTCAGAACCACAGGCTGAACATTCAGATCACCTCAGGAAAACAATGCTTTTAGGGGCCTTGTCTACACTATACATTTAAAGCAGTATCATACCATCTGCCAAAGAATCATGGGAAGTGCAGTTTGTTAAGGTTGCGGAGAGTTGTTAGGAGACCCCTATTCCCCTCACAGAGCTGTAATTTCCAGAGTGGCTTAACAATCACTCTTCACAGGGGACTCTGGGAATTGTAGTTCTGTGAGGGGGAAAGGGGTCTCCTAATCATGCTCAGCACTCTTTACATACACTTTCTAGAGGTTTTTTGGGAAACCACAACTGTTAAAAGCAGAACAAAGCAGAACTTTAAATGTACGTATAGTGCAGATGTGGCCATGGTTTGTATCAGGGAAATGGATCATTCTAGAGGGATTGCAACAAGTCAAGACTTTTGATTTCTTAAAGGGGTGGGGAATCTTTTTTTCAGTCCAAGGGCCATATTTCCATTCTGGCAACTTTCTGAGGGCCACATGCCGGTAGTGGGTAGGTGGGCCACAAGCAAAGCAAAATGTGTTAATATGCTCTTTTCTATTCTCTATCCAGGCTAGCAAGGGGCATTATCAGAGTTCAAGGACTCATTCCAGCCAGGTAGAAACACTCAAGAGGAATGTAAAGCATGGGCAATGAGGGATGTGGCCTGCGAAGACTTCTGTGGGCCAGATAATGAGTTCAGGGGAGCCACATCTGGCCCCCAGGTCTGAGGTTCCCTACCCAACTGATTCTATCAATAAAATAATTGGGAGGGAACTTACCAATTTATTTGGATACCGAAGGAGCACTGGTTGAACAGGAACGCCAGGTATAAAGGCCCCTGGAAATGCAAGCCAGACAAGAAAAATCACCACGGGGAGAAATTATGTGGACTATAGTTTGTGCCTAGGAATAATAATCAATGGACACCACCAACAAGAACCATTCAGATTAACATGTTGAGTTAAGGGCTTTCCATGTTCACTCAGATGCCCAAATCCCAGGAAATCACAGCTGTTAGGGACCACATCCTTAACAGACTTGTTACTGAGATCCATATGTTGGTGGATCTACTACTGGACCAGTTTCCTGATCAAAGGTAGATCACAACTGAAGCGCTATCACCAAATATGTAGTCAAAAATGAATTGGGTCTCCTAAAGCATGTCATGGTTAAAAGGTGCATCCCAGGTTGAAAAATGAAGACCACCAACCTAGGCAAATCTGATAGTATGGGATCCTGTCCCGGGGCCAGTTTCAGTGTCACCACTACCTTGGAGCTGGGTGGCTGTCAGCAGGAGAGTAGAGGCATTCAATGTTCACTGGAATAGACAGCTGAAGTCTGTGGAACTGTAGCCTGGGCTTTAAAGTAGGAGTCGGGAACTGTTGGTCATCCAGATGTTGCTGAACTCCCAGCACCTCTGGCTATTGGTCCAAGTTTTCTGGGGCTGATGGGAGGTGCAGATTGGCAACATCTGGGGAACCAAAGGTTCCCCATTCCTATTTTAAAGATTGCAATGGGGTGGGGGAATGAAATTTATCAGATAAAGCATACATAGCTATACAGTTGCCACCTAAATCCCCTTTCTGTTTTGTTCTAAAGGCCCTATAACAACAGAGTGCAGATTGGTTCCAACTCCCTAGGCAGAAAATCACACCAACTCTTTTGGTTGTCTATTGTCTTTTGGAAGTCTATTGTGTTGGTGAGATCTAGGCTCATTTCTGGACTGTACCACTTCAGACCACAAGAGGGAAGCTCTCCATATAAAGAAACATTCCTCACATACAGAAGACAGAACGTTGCCTTAAACCAAGTCAGATTACATCTATTCCAGAAATGGGCACATTCCAGTATTGTTATTTAGCTTTCTACAAGAACCCCAAAGGATCTACCAACCAGAGCCAGGTGTAAAAGATATACAGTTGGGATTAATGGGGCACATTTGAGCTCAATAATACATTTTTTTTTTTTTTTTGCAGTACCAGAACCTTGCATAAAAAGTTCACTCCTGGTAAGGAAGGAATTGAACTCATATTCCAAAGCAGACTCTCCTGATTTGATCCAGGCAGATCATGTGTTCACTGCTGTTCCTATTCAGAGTAGACTTGGAATAATTCCATTGATTTCAATAGGTGTACTCTGAGTAGGGCTAGCTAGCGGGTGGTGCTGTGGTCTAAACCACTGAGCCTCTTGGGTTTGCTGATCAGAAGGTCAGCAGCTTGAATCTGCATGATGGGGTGAGCTCCTGTTGCTCCCAGCTTCTCCCAACCTAGCAGTTCAAAAGCACACCGGTGCAAGTAGATAAATAGGTTCCACTGCAACGGAAAGGTAAACAGTGTTTCCATGCACTCTGGCACTCATCAAGGTGTCCTGCTGCACCAGTAGAAGTTTAATCATGCTGGCCACATGACCCAGAAAGCTGTCTGTGGACAAATGCCAGCTCCCTCAGCCTGAAAAGGGAGATGAGTGCCTCAACCCCATAGTCGCCTTTGACTGGACTTAACCGTCCAGGGATCCTTTATCTTTTACCTTTACCTTGCAACCCCAGAACTCTGATTCATGGGTCCATTTCAGACTCTGTAGCCTGGAGGCACCTCCTCCATTCCTCTGAAAAGGTTCATGCTTTAAATCTGCTTTTCAAATGTTACACACTCCCTCCCCCCCACCTCTAGCTTTTCAGCAACAATGCATCTGACACAGCCTTCCTCACCTTGTTTAAAAGTGATCAGACATGAACGGTTTGTACAGGTACCTTCTGGGAAAATCAATACCTGGGATCAAAAAAAGAGGAGAAGACATGCATATTCCATTAATTTAAACTGTCCCACAAATCCAGCAATTCTTGTTCAAGACTCATTTGCCAATGGTTCCTTCAGACAGCAATGGGGGGGAGGCGCACGTCTTTCTGAACCTTTCTTTCTTAATCTGTGGGCCATAAGATATTGTTGGACTCAAAGTCCCATCATCCTTGATCACTGGCCACAATGGCTGGGGCTGTTTGGAACAGTGGCCGGGGAAGACCCTACAATAACAGAACCTGTAGTGACACTCCAGGAATGCTGTCCTGTTTCTTGCAATACATATGCTCCAAAATCTGATGGAAGAGAAACAGGAACACCTTTATAACACCCCAGGTCTCAAACCATGGATCACTGTCAGAGCTTTCTGCCTCCATAACCCTGATCTAATTCTGCCTCTGTTGTTCCATTCCACTTTCCATATGCTATATCTGCCACATATTTTGGAAATGTGTTTGTTTGCTATACATTTGGACACCACTTAAGATGCCATAACCAAATGTTGCATGATGGCTCCTGAGATAGCAGAGAAGGTTTTTTCCTATGTCTGGATATCATGGGGAACCATTTTGAATCAAGATGACTGACTGAACCTTTCAAACCTGCAGTTGTTGTTGTTTTTTAATCACTTTATTTGCTTTGGGGAGGGGGGAACCACCGAATATACATAATCATAAACATATAAGGAGCATTTAGCTAAGAGCATTGATTGAATCTATGTTGTACTGTAAAATATTTGTGCCTCTTTACTTACAACCAAAATTATTTTTGTTTATTAGTGTCATCTTTACAATTGTTCCACAAGAGTCCGCATATGGATGCCGGTTATGTATTTTTGTGCTACTTGTTTAATAAGGAGATAGCATATCGTTTGGAACTTCTTTTCTGTCTTTTTTTGAAATTCTTCCTGTCGTTCACCTTTGGTGTCAGTTTTTCCAATGATGCAATTTTCTGAGTTTGTTGGTACCATTCAGGCAGCAAGTTGTCTCCTGAAACTTACCAACTTCTACCTATTGTCAAGCGTGTCATGGATAGTAAGAATTGTAATGAGCCCTTGTTTGTAATGTTTTGACTTTCTTCATCAAATATAGATAACAATGCCACCCTGGGAACTAAGTCCAGTATCTGATCCATGATAAGTCACATTTCATAATATATTTTTTCCTGTATCTTTTCACAAAATCACCACTTATGAAAATAGGCACCTGATTTTCCTTAAGCTCTCCTGCATAGTGGGCTATTAGTACTTGAGTACAGGGAATCAGGTACCATCTATGAATAATTTTGAATGAGTTACCATTCAAACCACAATACTATGGGTGGTTTAACAGGAAATAGGGGGTCTCCTAACGACTCTCAGTACCCTCAATAAACTACAGTTTCCAGGATTCTTTGGGAGAAGCCATTACTGTTTACATTTGCATGAAACTACTTAAAATGTATACTGCAGATGGGGTTAGGTCAGCTGTTTACCTGGACCCTTACAGGGCAACAGGGCTCTCTCATTTATGCTTACAACATCCTCCATTTATCTCAGATGACTCCTTCATTTCTCAACATTTGTCATGAAGAGCCTGGAGGAGCAATTTGCACAACGATGGTTCAGCTTTTTAGCAGCTAAACCATCTTAAAAATCTTACCTGGGGCCATTGCTCCCCTGAAGTTGCTCGACGGGTTATTTCTTTGATTGTGTTCCTCCGAGAATCAGGATCAACACGGGACACCACAACAGGCTGGAGAGCACTGAGGATCCCTGTTTAATAGCAAAAAAGAAAGAAGAAAGAAAGAAAGAAAGATTCCTATCATTGTTGGGTGATACAAGCATTTCTAAGGCCCATCCACCCACCCCCAAAAATCTAAGAATTCTTTCTTGAGCCTAAGCACCAGTCAAAATCGGTTTATTTATTAAAAACATTTCTAGACTACCACCCATATCATGTGTGGAGGAGATGGTATAACAATATTAAAATACCTAACCAGAACTTTAGAATACAGAGAGGACCTGAGGACAACAGCACTCAACTCACTTGTGATTCCCAGAAACTGGTATTCAGAGGCATACTGCTTCCACCATAGAGGCAGTGAACAGCTGTCAAAGATAGGTGCCAATGATAGCCTTATCTTCCATGATATTGCCCAATCCTCTTTTAAAGCCATCCAAGTTGGGAGCAAGTTCCATAGTTTAACTTTATCCTAAACCTCCAACATTCCAGAGTGGGAGTTCTAGAGTTAAGAGAGATGGAGGGGAAAAAACTGTCCTCTATCCACTTTCTATGCCATCTATATTTTTACAAACTTAAATGATGACACCACTTACTCACATTTTCTCTAAACTAAAAACTCCCAGATGTCACAAGCTTTCCTCACAGAGGAGTTGCTCCATCCCCTTGATCGTTTTGGCTGCTCTTTTCTGAACCTTTTCCAACTTTACAGTAGCCTTGCTGAGGCGAGGTGACCAGAACTGTACACAGTATTCCAAATGTGGTTGCACCATAGATTTGTATACAGTGGTACCTTGGTTTAAGAATAGCTTAGTTTATGAACAACTTGGATTAAGAACGCTGCAAACCCAGAAGTAGGTGCTTTGGTTTGTGAACTTTGCCTTGGAAGCAGAACATGTTCCGCTTCCTGTTGAGTGTGTTCCATTTGTAAATTGAGTCCCCCGCCGCTATGGGAAAGCACACCTTGGTTTAAGAACTCTTTGGTTTAAGAACAGACTTCCGGAACGGATTAAGTTCGTAAACTAAGGTACCACTTGTAACGGCATTGTGATGTATGAAGTTTTATTTTCAATTCCTTTCCTGGAGATCCTTAGCATGGAATTCACCTATTTCACAGCTGCCACACACTGACAGGTGGGCCAGATCCTGAGCTCTCACTAGTGCCATTTTAATGGATGGCTAAGGGCTGCCCTCCTGTCAATCCGATGATGTCACATGACTTTATTTCAAAGGAAAAAATCTGGAGTGCAGTCCTGAGTTTACCCATGCATGGGTGACAAGTTGGCATGTCAAAACCAATGGCCACACTGTATGCAGTCGATGAGAGTTGGGAGTCCAACAACGTCAGGAGGACCAGAGGATTCTCCATCTCTTTTCAGAATGCTACATCATTCTGGATTTTGTTCTGTGATCCAAGAACTCTACCATCTCATTCACCTATGTGTGTGTGTGTGTGTGTGTGAAAGACTTAAACTGGGCAAAAGCAGCCTACATTCCCTCAAGCCTCATAACAACACTTACTCCCAAGAATGGGCACAGAGAGATTCTCTTGCCTAGACACTGTCGACGGCAAGCCTGCCAGAACACAGACGATCCCATCGAAGAAGCTCGAGTGTGGTGCTGCAGTAAGGATCGGTGCCTCCTCAGGACTAGCTACTTCCCCCTTCACTTTGACTCGGAAGCCCATCACAAAAAATAAGGCACGGCCTAAGATCGTGAGGCTGGCATAGCACACTCTCCTAAGGGAAAAAAGAAAAGAAAATTGGGAACCTCATTACTTCACTCATCACCAAGATCACTACCCCTAACCCTGGAGAGAAACTAGAGGACCAGACAGAGAAGCTCAGAGGGCCGCAATTGGCTCCCCGGGTCTGCAGCTCCCAACACATGCTTTGTGTTGTTATGTACACTGAGAGCACCATATAAACAAATATATATGACATTTTTAAAATTCATAAAGAGCTTAGCCTGCATTAAGAACATTAGAATAGGTTGCCAATGGCCCATCTAAACCAGCATCCGGTTCTCACAGTGGCAAACCGGATGCCTCATTTGGGAAACCCACAAGCAGGACTTGAGCACAAGAGCACTCTGCTCTCCTGTGGTTTCCAGCTACTGGTATTCAGAAGCATTTACTCCTGAAGAAAGAGGCAGAGGCAGAGGCAGAGCCATCATGGCTAGTCGTCACTGATAGCCTTGTCATCCATGAAGTTGTCTACCCCTCTTTGAAAGCCACTGAAGTTGTGGCCATCATTGCTTCCTGTGGGAGTGGGCTCCATAGCTTAACTGTTCGCTGTGTGAACAGTCCTTTATTTTATCTGTCCCAAATCTTTCAACATACATAATATTGTTGCAACCCCCTCTCAGGTACATCAGTGTTGTTATTATTTTATTATGATGACAATTACACTGGTGACTATTACCACCATCATTCACCTTACATAGACTTAGGGAGCAATCCCATACACAAAATTGGATGAAAAACTGGTAATATTCAGAAATGCACATGCCCCACATAAAAACTACAGGGAAAATGGCTACACACATTCAAAAACAAATAAAACATATTAAAACCCCCATCAAAGTAGGCACGCCAAAAAGTCTTTCTTGTTATTTTTAACTGGGAAGGACACAGGACCTCGTTGTGTACCAAGGGGCAGATCTGATGGTGCCATATGAATATGCTACAAAGTTAAGGTTCTTGCAAATCCCAGTGCTCCAAAAAGACAATGACATTCTAAGCGATGGTTCTCCCACATTAAGTTCTACATCGCAAAGGCAGTCAAAACACTTGTCTGCCTTGCAAAATGTGCTGGCCTACACAATGCAATCCTCAGTTCAATGTAAGTTACTTCCCTAGGCAATGTTATTTAGGACTGCAACCTCGGGTGCCATGTAACCACTCTTATTTCCTGGAAGTCCATGGAGAGATGCTGTACCCATGATTGTGGAGGTTGTGTCATTCCAGTATGAGGACAAAGAGGTCCTTGCAAATAATGTGCAAAGCAGTTACTAGGACAAGTCCTGCTGTATTCAGCAAGCCTTCCCTATTAAGAGGTCCTCAACAGCCATGTTACCTTTGCCATCCCAGAAGTGGCTTAGTCCCCTTCTCAGGGGTGCAGGAAGTTGCCAGGACTGCAAACGGCCAGGCCACCAGCAAAATGAAGAGCATGCATAGGATACGGAGAGGGACCAGAATCAGCCCGAACAAGAAAGCCTGGAAAATAAAGAGACAGAGTCAACCAGTCAGCTAGGCCACAAGTGATGTTTCAATTCACTTGTTTGTTTCCAAAGGACACATGCCAGAGGTACAGCGGTGATCGCATCTACCAACTCAGTAACAAACCACTGATAACCTAGCTGAACCAGCATGGTATAATGGCTTAAGCCATCAGACTACGACCTGGGAGATCAGGATTTAAATCCCCAATCAGCCATGAATCTCACTGGATGATCCTGGGCCATTCACATTATCTGTCTCAACCTGACTTGAACTAGGCCCAGATCCCTCGAAATGGGCCTGAATTCTCACAGGGTAGCCTTGTTTCACCATGTATTTTAATTATGCATGCCTCCTCCCCCCCCCCCCCGTAATTGGGTTTATACCTGTAAATGGCTTAGAAGACTCTTTGGCAACTAAGAAGTATATAAATCAGTAACACAATAACCTCAAAATGCTGTGGTTTCCAATAGAGGCTGCCTAGTCCCCAGTAACATGCAGGCATACAGGGAACGTAGCGGGCAAAAGTCCCAAGCAATTGAGTCCTGGTTTATTTAGGCATTGCAGAAGATTGCTTGGGGACAGTTCAATGGTAGAGCATGTGGTTTTCATGCAGAAGGTCCCAGGTTCAATCCCTGGCATCTCCAAGTCAGACTGGGAAAGACTTCTATCTGAAATCCTGGACAGCTGCTGCCAGCCAGTGTTGGCAGTACTGAGCTAGATGCTCTGCCTGGGTTGCTATAAGGCTCCCTACACCCTTAGAATTCTCAGTTAGTCTTTTGGTCACGTCCCAGGCAGAGATGTCTCTGGAAATAACTTGCTGGTTACCTAATCATTGACCAATTGCCAAAATACACAGAAAGCAACTTCCTGATTAGCATTATTTGACTAAGTATTGGCTCTAACATGGAACGGGATTGTTGTTTTTCCTTTTGGGTTTTAAGAAAGAGGTAACTCAAAGCAAATTTAATGTAAATATTTGAAGACAAACTGACACAACATTATGCATTGTTGTATACTTGGATTTCTGGTCCCAGATGGCACACACAAACTGAAGTACAGTGGTACCTTGGGTTACATACGCTTCAGGTTACATACGCTTCAGGTTACAGACTCCGCTAACCCAGAAATAGTACCTCGGGTTAAGAACTTTGCTTCAGGATGAGAACAGAAATCGTGCTCTGGCGGTGCGACAGCAGAGGGAGGCCCCATTAGCTAAAGTGGTGCTTCAGGTTAAGAACAGTTTCAGGTTAAGAACGGACCTCCAGAACAAATTCAGTTCTGAACCCGAGGGACCACTGTAGGGTTCAAGAGCACTGACATATGTAAACTGATGTGAAACACCCCTCCTCAAAAGGAGGTTCTGTGATGCACAGGTGTTTCATTGGCAGAGTGACTCATGGTGCATGAGGCTGGACAGCTCAGTCTAGTAGAGCATGAGACTCTTAATCCCAGGGTCATGCGTTTGAGCTCCACATTGGGTGAAAGACCCCAGTGGATCCTTCCAATTCTATGATTCTGTTTCTCCTTGCATTTTGATCTCACCTTTCCTCCAAGGAGCTCAAAGCGGTGTACATCGTTATCCTACCCTCAACTCCATTTGATCCTCATAACAACCCTGTTAGGTTGAAAGGTGATGAGTGCTTCATGGGTCACATAGGGAATTGAACCCTGGTCTCCAAGGTTCTGGCCCAGCACTCTAACCACTGCACCACCACCACTGCACACTTCCACACAAACATTTGTACACGGGTAGAGCTACTTTGTACCTGTGCTCAGCGTAACATCTGAACAAGCCTCAAGTCATAACCCTTGCCAAACTTCCTATTTCTAACGAGCCAATTTCCCTCTCTCATATTTCGCAGCAACTAGGTCTGCAAGGACAAAGGCAGAATAGGATTAGTTAGAAGCCCAGCAGATCACAATACACCAAAGTAACTTAACTAACTTAGGAACACAGAAAGTGACCTCACACTGAATGAGAAACTTGAAAGACAGCAGCAATTTTTCCTCCAAATTAAAATGAGTGCAAAGGGGCAAGTCCACACAGGGGCAAGACAGGTAAAAGCAGTTTCTTTATGCCAAATAAGATAATGGGCCAATTAGTATCCCTGACAAGTGTAACAATTATTATTACTATTATTAACTTGTGGCTAAACCAGTAGCATTTCACCTTCAAAGACTGTGTGTCTCGTCATCTGATGTTTATAGGAGGAACAGCAGAACGAAGTTCTGAGGAAGTTGTGAAATTCTCTTCCTGTGAGGTATTCAATACAAGTTTACAGTTTCACCGAGAAGTTTTGGATATTTGGTGCAAAAGGCTGGGGCTGATGATCTAATGGATGAAGCCAAAACAAGGGGGTGGCTGCCCCCTGATTTGAGGTCAGCTTACAGAAAAATAATCACCATTTCCTATCAGTACAAAACATTTGTAGCGTCTTCTCATGAAGGTCAAGAAAGGTTAGCCATGCAGTTTTGGGACACCAGGTTCATTTCCTGTTTTCGAGTTATTTCATCAGTGTTCTTTGAGGAAGTTTGTGTGGCCCATGCCTACCTCCACTGTCAGAGGCAGCAATGCTTCTGAACACCAGGTGCTGGAAACTGCAGGAGGGGAGAGGGCTCTTGTGCTCTGCTCCGTTCTTGAGGGCTTCCCACAGGCATCTGGTTGGCCACTGTGAGAACAGGATGCTGGTCTAGATAAACCACTGGCCTGACCCAGCAGACCTCTTCTTATGTTCAAAAACAATGGCATCCTAAGGTTGTGTCTGATGTAAAAAATGCCATGCACATCAGGGGGGGAAGAACCTGTGGCCCACCAGATTGTGATGGGCTCCAAATCCCCTCAGCCCCAGCCAGCATGGTCAGGAATGGTGGGATCTGGGAGTCCACCAGCACTTAGAAGGCCACAGACTCCCTCCCCCAATTCCCTGATGTGAATTCCCACCCTGGCTGTGAATGATGATGCTTGGGCCTCCCTGACTGAGGAGGAGAATCAGCATTCTCTGGCTGCATTCACACAGCAGCTCACTCTGTCTTCCCCACTTTGCACTAACTGTTAATTTCCGCATTATATTTGAGCTTTCACACAAAGTAAAAGCCATTTTCAGAAATATAGTGGAATATAGAGTAGGTTTATTTCCGTGTTATTTGCAAATGGATTTATTCTGGAAGCTGGTAATACTGAAATGAATGCTAAAAGTGTGCTATATTCCACTATATTTCCTGAAGCGGCTTTTATGTAGTATGAAAGCTGAACTATCATGTGGAAATTAACAGTCAGGGGGACATCAGGAATACAGAATAAACTGCAATGCAACCTCAGATTATCTCCATGACAAAACAGACAACTGAAATTGTGGAATCCACAAGACCTCCATTCTGAAAAATGGGACTTTAAAACATGCACACATGAGATTCAATGCCCAAAATAAGAATAGCAACCTAAGAAGAGCCCTGCTGGGTCAAGCCAGAAGCCCATCAAATCCAGCACCCTGTTCTCACTGTGCCAACCAGATGGCCTTGGAAAGCGTGCTCCGAAGTGCAACAGCCTTCTCCCCACTTGTGATTCCCAGCAAACGGGTGGCACAGAGCAAGCCACATTTGTGAAGCCACAAATGCAGATCACTTCTGCCATTCATCACACTCAAGCTTGGAGAAATGGCATATTCAGGCACTTATCAATTCTAGCAGAATGTGAGCTGTATTTATTGATGAAGCTGCCCAGGCCAAAGAGTCTGCCAATTTCAACACACTACAGAGAAAGACTTGACTGTCTTCATGGAGAAGATTTGTATATCCCTGTAAAAAGGACCCATGCATGAAGAAGCCTTTCCTCACATGGAGTGGCCTCTCTTCAGATCCCTGAAGGCAACTTTCGGCCAAATCTGCTGAAAAATGGAGCAAGAAGCTATTGGCTTCCTTTTGCTGTTAAAAAGAAAATAAACAAATCAAAAATTATGTTTTTGATCTCTCAAGCAAGTTTTTTTCTTTTTCTTTTTAAAAGGCTCTAGCAAACATTTTTACAGAGCTTTTAAAAGAATTGCTTTCCTCTAAATATGGTACTGAAAATGAAGAGAATTACAGTCTTCGCAGGCTTTTGGAGCAACAAGTAATGAAAAACTGTCTTGGAGCATTAATGAACGTTTACAACACTTCTTCAGAATGTCAGGTTAAACCTGCTTTTTGAGGAAACATGCTGGTCCTGCAGCCATATGAAAAACCTGTGATCTTTGGCGCTAAATAGGTAAATAACATTTTACCTTGAACAGTATCAGGGAGTATGACCTCTGTAACCAACAGCTATCACCAGCTGCAGCAACAATGGCTCCATTTCCATACACAGAGCAGGGGGAAGAACAACCTTCCCTGTGCATAGGAAAAACTTAGCATTCAGCATTGAAGGGTGGGGAACCTTTTTCAATCCATGAAGCATTCTGGGGGCTGAAGATCAGTGGTGGGTGGACCAGAGGCAACAGTGGGTGGAAGAATTGGCACTTTTAAAATATTTGTACAAGAGGCTCTGTTCTAGCCACAGGAAAGTCAGAGGTTTACACCTTTCCATCTTCCATCCTGGCAGGGAATAGGCACTATCGCCTTCAAGGACACATCCTAGCCAGCCAAAAACTCTCAATGATGGGGACAGCAGGCTGGTGAGGGGTGTGCCTTGGGCAGATTCCCAAGGTCCACCTCTGATATATTAGGAGAGTACTCAAAATATAAACACCCTCAATCTGCATTTTGGAAGTGGTTTGGTCCTGAAGGGACAGTCCCACATACTTTCTTGAACATTTAAATCTGCTGATAGGTCCTCCCCAAAAAACATAATGCCACCTGCTGCTGCATTCATTTCATTTGCACTGAGAACATCCCTTCTGCAGGTCATGGTGAAAAAAGCAGAAGATCTGCGGGGTGGAAGCAGGGCAGAGAACAGGCTCTGCTTTGATAGCCTGGGTTTGAAAACTGTCCAGTCTTCCTCTTTGCCACCAAGGCAGATATGCTCTGGGTACTTCCCCATAGCAGCTTATTGTGGAGTCTCAATGTCACATCATCCTCACCAAACTGTCACCCCATATTATGTTTCCATTTAATCTGGATAGATTAAAAAAACCACCAAAACCCTGCAGAAACAGTAAATCTGGATTAAACTGGTTAAAAATACATTGAAATCACTTAAACACATTAAGAGCATCTAAAGAAACAGTCAGATGCCCTGAAAGATAGCAATTTCAGGCAGCAGGAAAGAAGTATCTCCCAGTCATCATATACTGGGCATGTGGAAGGGCCTCCAAGGTGACTGGAAGGGAAGTGGTTTATCTTAGCTTTGAAATTACAAGATAGAAGAGAAGCACTACACTTCTCAACGAAAAGGAAGGTGGGTGCGGAGTGGAGAAGTTTCACAGGGCTGGCTGGGAGTCAGCCCTCATTTCCGGCCACATAAAGGAAACACACAAAGTTTCATAAGCTTCCTCTTTGCTCGTCTAGTTCTGTTGGCTGGGTTTGCATGCCCTGTGCCTCCACTACTCAGTTTAGACTGCAATGCCACACATACATAGGATCATAAAATTGTAGAGCTGGAAGGAACACAATGGGGCATCCAGTCCAACTGCCAGCAATGCAGGAATCACAGCTAAAGAATCTCTGACAGGTGAAGTCCCACTGAAGTCAGTGGCACTTACTTCTGTGTAGACCTGCATCAGACTGCATGATAAAGCACTGATCTGCTCAGACATGCTGCAGAAAACATTCCTTGGGCATGATTTAGATGCTCTGGATCAACCTGTCATCTTCCTAGGATTAAAATGACCTCAGAAAATGTTGGCAGGGTGCCTTTCTTCAGGGTGTAGTTCAGAGGTCCACAGCAAACTAGCAACATGGGAACAACCTTAGAAAGCCACTAAGGCAGAGGTGGAGACTCTGTGACACTCTCTCTCTCTCTCTCTCTCTCTCTCTCTCTCTCTCTCTCTGTGTGTGTGTGTCCCATAATTTTAGGCAGGGTTATTCCCTACCCCACTTAAAGAATTTGGCAATAGAACACAGGACTTCCTGTATGCAGAGTTTGTGGTCATCTACTATGCTACAATGCTAAAAACAACACAGGTTACTTCGAGATGGCCCTCTTGGTGAGCGTTCAACACAATTTGCTTGTGCAAAGTTTGCAGTAAGGTTACACATGACATCAGATGTTAAAAAGATAAGAAGAGCCTGCTGGATCAGGCCAATGGCCCATTTAGTCCAGCATCCAGTTTTAACACTGGCCAGCCAGATGCCTATGGGCAGGGCTTTTTTCCTTCTGGAACTGAGTCCCTGCACCTCTTTGTTGTGTTGTGGAGCCAGAGTACAGCCATCATGGCCAGAGCCAGTGTGGATTAGTGGTTAAGAGCAGTGGACTCATAATCTGGTGAACCGGATTTGATTCCCTGCTCCTCCACATGCAGCTGCTGGGTGACCTTGGGCTAGTCACACTCCTCTGAAGTCTCTCAGCCCCACTCACCTCACAGAGTGTTTTTTGTGGGGGAGGAAGGGAAAGGAGATTGTTAGCTGCTTTGAGACTCCTTTGGGTAGTGATAAAGCGGGATATCAAATTCAAACTCTTTTTCTTCTTCTTTCCTCCATGAATCTGTCTAATCTTTTAAAACCATCTAGGTTGGTGACCATTACTGCCCTCTGTGGGAGCAGGTTCCTGCATGAAAATATCCTTTCTTTTACCTGCCCTGAATCTTCCAATATAAGTAGCGTCTACTGGCTGACTCCAACAAGTGGTAGAACATAGTCTTGTCCTTTCAACAAATCTGAATGAATGCTCCATCTTTATGAAGCATTCATTCTGATTACAAGCGCTTGTCTACACCAGAGTTTAATGTGTGCTTGCAGCTATCTGTGGTAAATGTCACTTCAGTGGCACTTTTCTTGTGGTTAACATTTCACAAAAAACTTCTTTTACTTCTTCCTCTAAAAGAAAATTACAATAAGGAAATCCTGGAAACATTTACTGGAGGGGGGGCGGAGAATTTGCTGAGAAGTGATAAAGCAGAAGTTTGAACCAGACACTGACAACTCTTGGCTTGAAACTGAAGTCAGGAAAGTATCAGAATGTCTGCGTAAAGCAAAAATCTTATATTTATGATCAAAGCCCACCACAATGCAGGATTCAACATACCACTTTATTAAGAATGTTGAACAAAGCAACTGCTAATCTGAAATCTGTGCAATGGGGAGAGGGGGGCATCAAGTTGCCAGGATTGCTAGCTTGTACAGTGGTATCTTGGGTTAAGAACTTAATTCATTCCGGAGGTGCGTTCTTAACCTGAAACTGTTCTTAACCTGAAGCACCACTTTAGCTACTGGGGCCTCCTGCTGCCACCGCGCCACCGGAGCACAATTTCTGTTCTCATCCTGAAGCAAAGTTTTTAACCCAAGGTACTATTTCTGGGTTAGCGGAGTCTGTAACCTGAAGCATCTGTAACCCGAGGTATGTACCACTCTGTGTGTGTGTGTGTGTGTGTGCATCCCTCACATCTAATCTATGGCAGTATTAGAGTAACAATACTCTGTACTGGAATACAACCATTTGCAGAGGTTGGAGTTTGAAGTATATCTGGAATTCCAGAAACACCTTAAGGTGAGATGAGATGGAGATTCCATGTCTAAATCTGATCCCATTAGCTATAAAGTTAAGTTCACCAGAAGCGGTCTTCTACCAGGTCAGACAATTTGTTCATCTGTCCCAGAACCGCCTACTTCATGGGTGGGGAATCTACATATGTTCAGCTGGAAGGCCATATTCCCTGAATATTCCAGGCTGGGCCGGGGGGTGGGTGGGTTGTAGGGGAGTTTGCATGCCAGTAGTTGGTGTGGCCAGAGGCAGAAGTGGTTGGAGAAACAGCTGCCACCCTTACCTTTGGACCATCAGCAATATATTCTGGTCATACTGAGCTATGCTGTTCCCAATACATTGAGGAAGGGAGGGGGGAGAAAACAGGACAGTACCCACTGATAATATATTTCTGGGCAATCTGCCTTAGATCAGCAAAACTTTCCAAATGTTTAAAAACAGTAACAACAAAATAGTTTTCCCACTTCTAAATTAGGCCACAGGAATGCAGAAAGCAAACCAGATATGAACTTATTTTGTGTTTAAAGGGCTGCAAGCTCAATTCACATTCTTGCATTGAAAACAAAATTTGGAGCTCAGAACATGCTCAAAGGCTCATTCTTTAATTCTAACAGTATGCTTTCTGTTGGTACTTCTTAGGTTTCTTTCTTTTCTTTTCTTTTAGGAGATCCAACAGGCTTGAAGTCTGCATGCCCCCATCAAAGCATGGACTCAGTTTCTCATCTTTAAAATGGAAAGAATAGTGGCTTACCTAACAGCAGCAGTATGAAAGCAAAAGGAAGCAAATTAATTTATTGCACACAGAAAATAAGAACGGCAACAATTTCCTGCCACGCCTGTGTGGACATAGGAACCTGCCTTATATAAAGTCAGAACATAACCAGGCCTCTATAATCAGGCCTTTGGCTGTTTAAACTATCTCTGGCCTTTTGAATTTGTTGGTGGGGGTTGTTTTTGGTTCTTGGTTATTAATTTTGTGCTCTCATTTTGAATTTTTATGTTGTATACCACCCTGTGATCTTCGGATGAAGGACAGTACATACATTCAACTGATAAATAAACAAAACAAAACATACATTGGTCTATCAAGCTCATTATTGTTTACACTGAGTGACAGAGGCTCTTCAGGGCTTCAGGCAGGAGTCTCTCCCACTCCAGGTGTTGGGGACTTAACTCGGGTCTTTCTGCCTGCAATGCAGATGCTCTACCCTTGCCCTTAAATAGAAGAAACATAGAAAGCTGCCTTCTATTGCATTCTTCCATCTAGCTCAGTACTGTCTACACGGACTGGCAGCATCTCTCTAGGTTTTCAGGTAGGGGACTTGTCCAGCCCCTACCTGGAGATGCCAGGAATTGAACAGGATACTTTATGTGTGCAAAATGGATTATCTATAGCACTTCCCCTCTAAATAAATAAATAAATATAGCCAGTTATAACCTAACCACAGCATCCAAGCAAAACAGGATGTTCAATAAGCATCCCATCTGGAGAAGCCCATCATGTATGTATAAGAAGGGGCCACAGAAGCAGAGCACAGGCTTCGCAACCAGAAGGGTCCAATGCTGACATTTCCAGCTCGGCTAAAGGGCCTCCACTGAGGACCCCATATATTGTCCACCAATCAAAGTTCCATACACACTGTCTGACTCCAGTCAAGTTCACATATTCTTATCTCTGACCAGGAAAATCGATTTTGTTGGTTTAAGCACATGTGGGGTTCAACTATTAAAAGACACTAGAACCATAAAAGGGGACAATGCTAACTAGAAGATTTGTATAAACTATTACCACTCAGTATTTTATTTGCCTCGCTTATAAATGATGCCTTATCCTCATTTCACGGATCAATCAGCTGAGGCCCTGGCTGAGATCAGGGCAAACTCTCTCCACCCCCCAAAAAACCAAAGAACCCTCACATGATCCATACAAAAAATGAGAGAGAAAGGATGCAAACGGTTTGCATCCAGCTGCCAGCTGAAGGATGAAGCTGCCTCTTTAGCTTGCAGGAAGTTGACCCGGGAGCGCCAGGCAGGTGGGGCTCTGAGGAATTCTAACAGAACGCATTCTTCGCCTGCTTATGTAATAAGGAAGGCAGACTCTTTTCAGCCAGAACCGCCGCCGCCCCCTTCTCTGTCGGCGGGCACCAAACGGAGACCCAGAAATAACTGCAACAGATTTCATTTCTGCAATCTTCAGCATGGCTTTTTGCTTTAAAAACGCCTGTCAATGTTTGCAAAGCGCAGCGTCGTGCGCGCGCTTTGTTATTATTATCATCATCATTGAAGAGGCATTTGCAAAGGGCCCCTTTAACCCCCTCCCTAGCGAGCTCGCAGGCTGCCCCCGTGCCGTTCACCCCGGCTGCGCCCGGCCATCCTCCTTCCCCACCCCCGGGGTCTGTTTACAGCGGCTGTCAATCCCCTGTACCCGGGATTTATCCTTTGCATCCAGGCGCGTCTCTTGCACGAAGGGGTTGATCACCAGCGGCGAGGCGAGCGACTGCTGCCTGGGCAAGGTGAAGACCGCCCTCGGTTGCAGCGCTGGCTCCGACATGCCGCCGCCTCCCGCCTGGGCTGCAGATCCGCCTCCCAGCGTCGCCACGGCCGCTTCTGTGCACAGAGTCATCGCGGCCAGGCGAAAAGAGAACCGGGAGATGCTGCGAAAGGCGCTCGGCTCCTCCTTGTCTCCAGGGCGCCTGCGCACAATCCATCAGCCTGGGAGCTGGGAGGGGGGATTTGCCAACTTTTCCACCTGTCCCTGCTCCTCTGCCATTTAGCAGCAGCTTCCTCGGCGGACTCTAGCAGGCGATGGCTATTTTAGGTCGGTTAGCTGTGCTGGAAGACCTGTATTAAGACTCTAAATTGTGGTTGTTTGGGACAGTTGCCAACTTATTGACCGGAACCTGCTCCTCTGCCTTTTAAGAGCAGCTTCCTCTGCGGACTTTAGCAGGTGATAATTTCCAAAGTGTAGGTGCTGCCACGCTGCAAGATCAATTTCTGACAAATGCAGAATCACTTTTATGTGGCACCTGCAACAGGTGCCAGTTCTGCAGATCAGAGCGGTCCAGGGAGCTTTTATGGAGTGAGGCAATCTGGCACGTAAACTGAAGTAAAAGACTGTGTATCAGTTCTCATTTTTGAAAAGTGTAACTTAGGTAATTCTGCCTTTAAATGCAAACTGAATCAAATCCCCCCCCCCCTCCGGGCTGGGGCTGATGGGCATTGTAATCCAATACATCTTTAGGGCGCCAGGGTGGCAAAATCTCTTATATACATATTCAGATGTCATTTGTTGTAATCGTGGTGGTGAAGGAAAGTTTTCCCTTTTTGGCCAAACCCATCCATGGCTCATGGGACCCCTTTCCATTGCCTCTTCATACAATGACCTGATGTTAGAATTGAGCTGTCAACCACAACCCCCAGATCTGTTTCCTGAGGAGTTACTCATAGCAGGTTCTGCCCCCATATATGGGTTTATGTGACAAACAAAAGAGCTGTGCCGTTCTCCCCTCCCTCCCCCCCCCCAATATGAGAAGCCAAGAGCAAAATAAAACAGGAAGAATGAAAAGGAAACGCAAAGCTTTAGAAAGAGGAAATATTTAAGCAGTTTATTTCCCGTTCACCTGCTTTTTAAAAAAGGGAAGCCTTTTAAAAAAAACAAAACCAACCAACCAAATAAATAAATAAATAAAATAAAGCTTAATCATATGAAAACATCCACTTAGCAACAGCCATCAGGAACTGCTTAGCTGGGGAAGTGTATTGGTAATAAATCTTTTCCGAAGAAGGGGCAGTTGTATTACACCTCTCGTACTGGCCACATAACTCAGGAAGAGGTCTTTGCATAAAACACATAAGAGCCTCCTGGATCAGGCCAAGGGCCCATCAAGTCAAGCATCTTGTTCTCACAGTGGCCAGTCAGATGCCCCAAAGGGAAACCCACAAACAGGATTTGAGCACAAGACCACTCTTCCCTCCTGTGGTTTCCAGCAAGTTTTCCAGAAGGTTTCTCAGCTAGGGCAAGAGACTAGACTTCGGACCTCTGCTCCTGCAGTGAACTGTGTGGAATATACAGCATCCTATAATAGGATACTATAATAGGATCCTATAATGGGACACGGGTGGCGCTGTGGGTTAAACCACAGAGCCTAAGACTTGCCGATCAGAAGGTTGGTGGTTCGAATCCCCGTGATGGGGTGAGCTCCCGTTGCTCGGTCCCTGCTCCTGCCAACCTAGCAGTTTGAAAGCATGTCAAAGTGCAAGTAGATGAATAGGTACCACTCCAGTGGGAAGGTAAACGGCATTTCCATGTGCTGCTCTGGTTCGCCAGAAGCGGCTTAGTCATGCTGGCCACATGACCCAGAAGCTGTACGGTGGCTCCCTCAGCCAATAAAGCGAGATGAGCGCCGCAACTGCAGAGTCGGCCACGACTAGACCTAATGGTCAGGGGTCCCTTTACCTTTATAATAGGCTGTAACTGGGCAGATTGCTGCTGTCATGAAATAAACAATATAGCAATTGTGTCTTTCCAATCCATGAACATAAGTTTCCAGAAAGTAGTTAGAGTAAGATTGAGATCATCAGACCCAGGGGCTGAAGGAGACCTCTCCATCTGGAAATCACATCAATGAACATCATTGGACAATGTCACTACTCCCTCAACCTTTCCGCACATGTGCACCTCTGTTCCCCCATGATTCCCCCATGGAAACATCAGGAAAGAACTGCATGCTGGTTTGTTGCTGTTTAGTTGTTTAGCCGTGTCCGACTCTTCGTGACCCCTCGTCCTCTGTCATCCCCTTCTCCTTGTGCCCTCAATCTTTCCCAACATCAGGGTCTTTTCCAGGGAGTCTTCTCTTCTCATGAGGTGGCCAAAGTATTGGAGCCTCAGCTTCAGGATCTGTACTTCCAGTGAGCACTCAGTGAGACAGATGAGGTGATCAGGCACTCCCATTTCTTTGCTGTGTTCGACACAGTCAAAGGCTTTTGCATAGTCAATCAAGCAGAAGTAGATGCCTTTCTGGAACTCTCTAGCTTTCTCCATAATCCAGTGCATGTTTGCAATTTGGTCTCTGGTTCCTCTGCCCCTTCGAAATCCAGCTTGCACTTCTGGGAGTTCTCGGTCCACATACTGCTTAAGCCTGCCTTGTAGAATTTTAAGCATAACCTTGTTAGCGTGTGAAATAAGTGCAATTGTGCAGTAGTTGGAACATTCTTTGGCACTGCCCTTCTTTGGGATTGGGATGTAGACTGATCTTCTCCAATCCTCTGGCCACTGCTGAGTTTTCCAAACTTGCTGGCATATTGAGTGTAGCACCTTAACAGCATCATCTTTTAAATTTTTAAATAGTTCAGCTGGAATATCATCACTTCCACTGGCCTTGTTATTAGCAGTGCTTTCTAAGGCCCATTTGACTTCACTCTCCAGGATGTCTGGCTCAAAGTGAGCAACCACACTACCTGGGGTGTAAGAGACATCCATTTCTTTCTGATATAATTCCTCTGTGTATTCTTGCCACCTCTTCTTGATGTCTTCTGCTTCTGTTAGGTCCTTACCACTTTTGTCCTTTATTATGGTAATCTTTGTACGAAATGTTCCTTTCATATCTCCAATTTTCTTGAACAGATCTCTGGTTTTTCTCATTCTACTGTTTTCCTCCATTTCTTTGCATTGCTCATTTAAGAAGGCCTTCTTGTCTCTCCTTGCTATTTTTTTGAAATCTGCATTCAATTTCCTGTATTTTTCACTATCTCCCTCGCATTTTGCTTGCCTTCTCTCCCCCGCTAGTTGTAAGGCCTCGTTGGACAGCCACTTTGCTTTCTTGCATTTCCTTTTCATTGGGATGGTTTTCATTGCTGCCTCCTGTATAATGTTACAAGCCTCCATCCATAGTTCTTCAGGCACTCTGTCCACCAAATCTAAATCCTTAAACCTGTTCCTCACTTCCACTGGGTATTCATAATGGATTTTATTTAGATTGCATCTTACCGGCCCAGTGGTTTTTCCTACTTTCTTCAATTTAAGCTTGAATTTTGCTATAAGAAGCTGATGATCTGAGCAACAGTCAGCTCCAGGTCTTGTTTTTGCTGACTGTATAGAGCTTCTCCATCTTTGGCTGCAGAGAATATAATCAGTCTGATTTTGATGCTGCCCATCTGGTGATGTCCATGTGTAGAGTCGTCTCTTGTGTTGTTGGAAAAGTGTGTTTGTGATGACCAGCTTGTTCTCTTGGCAGAACTCTATTAGCCTTTGCCCTGCTTCGTTTTGAATTCCAAGGCCAAACTTGCCAGTTGTTCCTTTTATCTCTTGATTCCCTACTTTAGCATCCCAATCCCCTATAATGAGAAGAACATCCTTTTCTATAAGGTGTTGTAAGGTGTTGTAAGTCTTCATAGAATTGGTCAATTTCAGTTTCTTCAGCACCAGTAGTTGGTGCATAAACTTGGATTACTGTGATGTTAAAAGGTCTGCCTTGGATTCATATTGAGATCATTCTATCATTTTTGAGATTGCATCCCAGTACAGCTTTCACCATTCTTTTGCTTACTATGAGGGCCACTCCATTTCTTTTACAGGATTCTTGCCCACAGTAGTAGATATGATGGTCATCCGAACTGAATTCACCCATTCCCGTCCATTTTAGTTCACTTGTGCCCAGGATGTCAATATTTATTCTTGCCATCTCACTTTTGACCACATCCAACTTACCCAGGTTCGTGGTTCTTACATTCCAGGTTCCTATGCAATATTTTTCTTTACAGCATTGGACTTTCCTTTCGCTTCCAGGCATATCCGCAACTGAGCGACCTTTCGGCTTTGGCCCAGCCGCTTCATCAGCTCTGAATCTACTTGCACTTGTCCTCCGCTCTTCCTCAGTAGCATGTTGGACGCCTTCCGACCTGAGGGGCTCATCTTCCAGTGTCATAACTTTTATATGCCTGTTGCCTTTGTCCATGGAGTTTTCTTGGCAGGGATACTGGAGTGGCTTGCCAGTTCCTGCTCCAGGTGGATCACGTTTGGTCAAAACTCTCCACTATGACCTGTCCATCTTGGGTGCCCTGCACAGCATAGCTCATAGCTTCTCTGAGTTATTCAAGCCCCTTCGCCACAGCAAGGCAGTGATCCATGAAGGGGGCATGCTGCTATAGCACCCCAAATTTTATCACTCTGCTCCCATGATTCTCCACATTAAGGTGACTGCAAACAGAGTTTTTCTGGAATCAAATACAGTGGTACCTCGAGTTACAAATGATCCAGGTTATATACGCTTCAGGTTACAGACTCCACTAACCCAGAAATAGTACCTCAGGTTAAGAACTTTGCTTCAGGGTGAGAACAGAAATCGTGTTCTGGTGGCGCAGAGGCAGCTGGAGGTCCCGTTAGCTAAAGTGGTGCTTCAGGTTAAGAACAGTTTCAGGTTAAGAACGGACCTCCGGAACGAATTAAGTTCTTAACCAGAGGTACCACTGTAACACAGAAATGAGAACTAAACATGTGTTATATTCCATTAGGTTTTTTTGGAAATGGATTTCACATTTTGTGAAACCTCAAATATAATGAGGAAATGAACCGTTAGGGGAAAATTGGGAAATGGAATGAACTGCAGTGTGAATGGTGATAATGCTTGTCTGGATTGAAGAGATCTGTGGTTGTGTGGGTGTAGCAACCTCTGGTCTT